GAAAACCCGAGATATATTGACTTTGGCAAAGATGTATTAAATAGGACACAGAAAGCATGAACATTCAAGGAAGAAAACTTGTGAATTAAACCTATTACTCCCCCAAAATGAACTGCAAAATGTAATGAAAAGGCAAAGGATGGCCTCAGAGAAAATATTTCAAAATATGTATCCAGCAAAAGATTTGTATTGAATCCTGTAAAGAACTCTTTTTTTTTTTTTTTGGTGTTCCTGGGTTTATTGAAAATATATCTCAGCAGAAAGATTTAAACGGCTCCACGTGGTGTTTTGAAATTCATCCCAACTGTGGGCTGAGTGACTTGAAGGTTGGAGAGACTCCCGAAGTCCAAAAGCTTCAGCATTTCCTTAGTGTCACGGTCAACTTCAATGATCTCCTGATCCAGGGCTGAGACCTCCGGAATGTAGTTGTCTCTCCTCTCTCTCTTCCTCCTCCTGCAGCTTGATGGAGATACCTCTCACGGGGCCTCTCTGGATCCGCTTCATGAGATGCGTGACATAGCCGGCGATCTTGTTGCGGAGCTTCTTGCTAGGGATGATGGCGATCTCCTCGCACACGCGCTTGTTGGTGTGGAAGTCATTGCCCAGGCGCGTGTAGTACTTCTCGATGATGACCCGGGCCGCCTTCTTCACGGTTTTGGTGCGAACGCGGCCCATGTTGGCGGGTCCAGCTAAAAGATGTAAAGAACTCTTACAATTCAACAAGAGACAAATGATCTAATTAAAAATGCTGGAAAAATTGAACATACACTTCACCAGGAAATACAGATAGATGGCAAATAATCACACGTAATGATGCTTAACACCATCAAGCATTAGAGAAATGAACATGAAAATCACAATGGAGAGGGCCTAGAGTTGTAGTTCAGTAGCAGAGCATATACTTGGCATATAAGAGGCCTTGTTCAATCTCCAAGACCAAAAAAAAGAAAACACACATGAAATACCATTAAATAGCTAATTTTTAAAAGTACTTGCCAAGTGTTGGCATATACTGCTGGGGGAGGGGCAGATGTTAAGTGGAGAAACACGTTGGGAAGGGGTTGGCAGTTTCTTTAAAAGTTAAATACACACTACACCACCCATCCATGCCTCTATGTAAATTTAACCAAGAGGAACAAAAGCACAGGTACACACAGAGACATATTTGTAGCAGTTAGTTGTCATTATGCAAAACTAGAAACAGCCTATGTCTATTAATGGGTAAGTTGGTCATTATGACATAGATGTGTTTCCCTTGGACATCACTTTGCACAAAGGATGGGTTTCATCAGATGCTTGTTTAGTCAGGTGTTCTTTAAAATAGATATTTCTCCTTTGTAAATATTTGTGATCAAAGGAGTCATTTGAATAAATGTTTTGTTCCCAGCATGTGTCTTTAAGATATTCTTGGGTTGGAAGCATATACATAGAGAAAATATTGGACAAAACCCTTCTTGGGCTTCTTAGTGCTAAGTAGTCCCACATGTGGACACCAGCAAATAAGCCATTCCTCACACCAATATAAGATAAGGCTACCTCTGCTACTAAGGGACAGGAGTGCTTCTTGCTGTGTACTTAGAATCCCTCCTTTGACTTGTTTTCCGGCAGTGAAATTCCTCTTAATCATGTCCAAGTATGTTTTTCACTGTGTCTAATTTCTGAATCATGTCCCAGTTGGGCCCAGTACCCATTTAGACCATAACTGTACTAAATCCTTTTCCAGATCAGTATAATAACAGAGTGATGTGCAATAAAAAAAAATAATGCTGGGGCATGGCTCAAGTGATAGAGCACCTGCATAGTAAGTTCAAGGCCCAGTACTGCCAAAAAAATTAATAATTCATCTTTCAAAATTGCTTAAAGACTAGAGGTTATGGGCAACCTTCCTTTGGGACCCCTTCAAGTTCTTGAAGCTCCACTCGTTGTTATTTTTCTATCTCAATAAACTCTCCAGCTACTCTCAAAAACAAAAAAAAAAGATAAGAGGTTACATATTCTAACCACAAAAAATGTATAAATCTATGAGGTGATGGGTATGTTAATTAGTTTGATTTAATCATTCTACTGTATTTATCAAAGCATCATATCCCATATATTTGTCAATTAAAAATAAAATCTTGTTAAAAATGAATTCTGAGATGGAGGAGGTAAACGGAGAGGGAAACAGGTCTAATTTAAATTGTTTGATGGGCATACAGTGTTCATTATATTACCTTCTCTACCTCTGCATATTTTTCAAACTTTCCATAAGAAGCTAAAAAAAAAAGTAGATGGGGAGAAGTTCCCCAGCTGTTGGCCTCTTCATTGTTCTTCCCAACCAGCAGATGCTTCTGGGAATCATCTTGTGTTTGTTGTACTTACCCACCGGATGCAAGCTTACAAGGAAGAAACTTGCCTGCTTTGGCCACTACTCTATCCTGTGTCTGTGTGTTGAGTAGATAAAGGAAACTAGAGGTAGAAGACAGTGCTGACAAGAAGATCAGGGGTGACCTTTGTAATAAACATTGTGGGAGTTTAAGATTTTTTTTTTAAAGTTGTTCCAGGTGAGTGGGGATGGCCACCTTCTGGAACAACTCATTTGAACAGGTAGAGTGCCATCTCCTAACAGTACACCTTCCACTCCCTGGAGAACACTGAGATCTCTGCCTGTATGGAGCCCAGCATGCTTTACACGCCAGCAGAGGTTTTGAGTGTTAGGGGAGGACATATGATAATATCCTAAGACTTGCTGGTGGGGCAAACAAGACTAAGGAATGACAGCACACTCAGGGTCTTTCCCATATCCATCATACCTTTGGGGTGAATTCCCAGGAGGGAAATTGCAAGATGAAAAGATAGGTTCCTTTGTAATGTAGATGGGCTAGCTTAGTTTCCCTAGAAGTTCTTTAGGCTGTCAACCCTATATGGTGTTTCAGTGCCCAGTTTCCCAACAAGGCATCACAGCTTATGCTCCCAACGTCATACATCCTCTACTCACTTTTTCATCATAAGCACATCCATGTGGGCCAGGCACTGTCCTGGGCATGAGACATATCAGTGAACAGTCAACAGAGTCTCACCATACCCACATTCAGAGGGGAACAGGGAAGGTGCTGGCAGAAGCTTGGTCCACCTTTCCCTTCTTATGCATGATGCTTTAAGAGTCACTTGTATTTTTCTTTTCTATGTTTATTTGAACAAGCAGGAAAATGTATGTTGCTTGTAAGAAATACTGTATTAGAGTTCAAAGAAAATTTATATATGTATAAATTATACATATGTGTTTCAGGTATCAAACCTCACATGCTTGTGGGATTATAGTTAACAGTTCTGCAAGGCTGCTGTCTTTGCATCTGGTAGTGGAACAGGGTAGGAAGTTAGGAAGACTAATGTAAAGATCCTTGGAAAGCCTGGGCCCTTTCATCTTGGAGCTGAAGAGCCCAGAGGAAGATGGGGCAGGTGTAGGCTGTTTGCTGCCTCATTCCACCCAGGTGAGATACAGCAGCAACTTCCCAGACCTTCCATAGAGGACATACTTGATAATTCCCTTATTTATCATTTGTATTACTTGCTGTCCTCATTTACATGTGGCATCCAGCAGGACACAGATTTGTTAGGAGCATTGCTTGTTTTTATTCACTGACATAGACCCATTGCTTAGTACACTTCCTACACACAATTAGCAATAAACACTGTACTTGTAGAAAAGAAAAATAAGAGGTGGTAGAGCTTATGTACAAAAGAGATGTGGCAGGGAAGATGTTGGCTGTTGAATCCAAGGGAAGAGCACAGAAGTATTAACTGTATTGTTCTTTTAACTTTCATAAATTTATGCACGAATATTTGCAAAACAAAAGGTTACAGAAAAGCCATCGGCTTGGAGGTGTGGCTCAAGCGCCTACTCTGGAAGTGTGAAGCCCTGAGTTCAAACCCCAGTCCCACCAAAGAGAGAAAGAGATAGCGAACCAGGCATGGTAGAACACACCTGTAGTTCCAGCCACTCAGGAAGCCAAGGCACAAGGACAGCTTGAGCCCATGAGTTGGAACCAGCTTAGGCAGCACAGTGAGGTTATCTCAAATCACACACACAGAGGACGCACTGAGGTGGAAGCCTGGGAACATGGGTTCTTTCTTAGGACCAAGGTTTGCTGGAAGGGAACTAGATTCCTCAATTAGCAAACCAATCCAGCAGAGTCCAACAATGGTGCCAAATTCTGATGATGTTGGTCCCCGGCTTCGCAGCCCCGTGGCAGAAGCCCCTATTATAGTACAGTGTGTGGTTGGAGAAGGGTGATTTGCACTCCACAAAGCGGGGAATCCTGCCCCTCACCGCCGAGGGTCCCGTGGGAGCACAAGCTCGGGCGGTGGCACTTGGTGGCTTCGTCCCCCTCATCGGACGCTGGCCCTCTAACACAACAGTAGGGTGCCCACACTGCGGCCTCCAGCCCGGCCCAGAAAGCTAGGGCAGGATGGCTTTCAGGAGGCGGAACAAGAACGGGCAAGAGCCGACTGTCTCCTCCCAGGTCCCGACTCCAAACCCGCCTGACTGCCTTTGGAAACTGGGTGCACGCCTGTGTCCACGATGTAGGGTGGACCACAGGGAGCCCGCAGACCTGGGCCAGCATTGGGCCAGAGACCGCGCCTGCGCCTTCCGGCGCTCACCTTCCTAGGCGGGCGGAAATAACCACGTAAGTCCCCGAGCAAGATGACTTCAGCGTGTTGCGACGAGGGAAGGGTGACACTTGGGCTCTAGCGGCGGCAGGATACGGCCAAGTGGGGCCAGAGAACTGTTCCTGGCCGCAGGAGCCGCCAGAGCAAAGGCTGGGGAGCGAGGAGGCTCAACACCCGCTTCCGCCAATTCGTCCGGAAGTCGGGCAGGGTAGGCGCGGCTGGCCTCCGCTCAGCGTAGCTTTCTAGGCCCCGCGAAAGCCTCGGCGCTGGCTGAGGAGCGCCGCCCGGCGGTCCGTCGCCGAGAAAAGCGTCGGGCCCGGAGGCGTGATAGACCACCTAACTGACGGACGTTGAACTCCACGATTGGCGGTCTGGAAATCTGGGGCGGGGCCTGAGGGGCAGCACGCTCAGGATTGGCGACTGCGCAGACGGGGTGGGCCGGCCCCTTTGTCTGAGGGTGCTGCGCGGCCGCCCTTCGGCGGGAGGCTGCGACAGACGGTGAGCTGGAGGTACGTGGGTGCCGGGCGGAATCCTCTTCCTCACCTACATCTAAGCGGCGCGTCCTCACACCGATTCCGGCCCCTCCCCTCACGGCGCGCGGCGCCCCGGCTGCTCATCCAGGCCGCGCCCTCCCTCGCTTTTCCTCTTCTTCCCTTTGGGGCGCTCCTGGCCCCTCCACCCTAGAACCCGCGCCATGCCTCCTGCCAGCCCGGTCAGAGTCAGGAGCCGCGGGTGGGGTCTCGGCGGAAAGCGGGGGGACCGAGGCCTCTGCGAAACGCAGAAGCGACGGTGGTCGGGGCGGGTGGCGGTTGAGACGGGGTCTTGCTGTGTTGCTCGGGCTGGGCTCCAGCGATCCCCCGCTCAGCCGCGAAGTGGCCGGGACCCGGCGCGCTACCCCTGTGGGCTGGAATCGTACCCTAGCGGCGCGGTCTTCCCCTCCCAGCGAGGATGCGCGGCTCTGCTTCGAGGCTAGATGTGCTGCTTCCCGTTTCTCAGCCTCCGCCCATTTTCTACCGATGCTATCTTTCTCTGTTTCTCTTTCCATGAGTGAGACTAACGTAGCATTTTCTTTGTTTAGAGTTGGCTTTTAAATTTTGTAATAGAAAATAATTGCAATAACTCTCTTAATGCAAGCATGCCAGTGCACCACAGGTGGCACTGAGGACGGTTTCGTTGGCACCTCCGGAATTTTTGATGCAGGTACTGCCGGCGGCGCACACTCACACCTTTTTTCCGTTATTAACTAAAAGCGAAGCTCCGCCGGGCTCGCCCCCTGCTGGATGGATGCTGTGGTTCTGCCCTGTTTCAGAAGGCCTTGCACCGGGGGTTTCCCTGCTGGACACCTGAGAGAGGTGGAATGAGGCTGACAGGTGGGGCGTGGTGAGCCGCCTTCCCGCCCTCCCTGTATAGAGAACCTGTTTGCATCCCTGCCTCATTTGTGATTTAGCCATTTGTAGCTCCTTTGTAAGTTGCCAGCTCACATTCTTTTCATGTATGTTGAAACGCACTTCCCAATGTGTCGTTTGATTTCACTGAAGGTGTTTTGTTCTGGTGTGGGTTTTTTGAAGTAGATTTTTTTAACGGCCAGATTTTTTCCTTAAGGCTTTTGGACTTTGTACTGTCTCAAAGAGCTTCCTTACTTCAAGATTATTTTTTAAATCTCTCTTTTTTTGTCTAGTACTTGTAAATGTTGTTGGGTACATCTGGAATTTATTTATATGGAGTGAACTTGAAGTCCAGCTTCATTTTTTCCCCCTAAATCATAACCATTTCTAATGCCTTCCACTAAATTATTGAATAATTTTTATCTTCCATCGATTTCAAAAACCATCTTTGTCATATACTAAATTCTTCCCTGTTTTGGGTCCATTTCTGGACTTTTGGCTTTGATGTGCATAAGGTTTTTTTGTTTTTGTTTTTGTTTGGCGGGGCAGGGGTTGTGTGTGATGGTACTGGGAACCAAACCCAGGGTCTCGTTCATGCTAGGCACTCTGCCATGGAGCCAGCTACATCCCTAGTCTTTCCTAAGATTTTGATTGACAAGTTACATATTTGTGGGTCCCTACCTCCAGGTTTCTGGTTTTGATATTTTGCTTAGAAAGGCCCTTTCTACATAAAACAATAAAAATATGCCTGTATTTTTAATTCTAGTTCTTTTATATTTTTAAAATTCTAACTTATTTATTCATTAGTCTAATGGTTGCATTACATTTTCAGTATATGAGATCTGATTTTTTGAGGGGGAGGGGGTTGAGGCAGGGTCTTGCTTTGTAGCCCAGGCTAGCCCCAAACTCAAGACCCTCCTGCCTCAGCAGGAGTGCTGGGATTATAGATGTGTGCCATCATGCCCGGCTTGATCTGATTTCTTTTTCTGCCTTTTTTTTTTTAATCTCTGTCTTTGCTCTAATGTGTGGAAGTTTGTTAAGCATTATGTAAAAATTTATCTTACTTTTTCCCAAAATATTTAACCTATCATCCTAACCATACTTAGTGAATCATCTTTCCTCCAGAAATTTGTATCTTCCGACCAAACTTAACTCTGCTGTACCTTGTTCCTGAGCAATAGCTTGCCCAGGCCCATGTGGCTGTTGTCCTGTAGCAGGTTAAGCTCCTCCCTCTGCTGGCTCCTTTCTTAGTGTCTCTGAGATTCCCCTGTGCTTGTTGATTATTTTAGATGAATACAGGAATAGTTGGTGTTGGTAAACCCCACCCCCAACCCCTAATAAAACAAAATATATTAATGTCGTGAATAAAGTAGAGAAATTAGCATTGCTGTGATCTGTGGTGTCTGGTCTTTACTTTTGAGACCTGGTATATGTGCCTTTCAGATTGTCTTTTGTTGTCCATAGGTTTTATATTTTTCTTCTGCATTTTCTAAATTTTCAGTTTGTTTCTTACTGGTATTTGTGAACAGAATCTTCATATCTTGGACCAGGTGTCATTGGGTTATAGAAAAGCTATCAATTAGATACATACTGCTGATCATTTACACTGGGAAGTTTGCAAGTGTTGTGTTTAGGAGTGTTTTGCTTTATACTCAAAAGTGCCTTGAAAGCTGTGTCTTCCAAAAGTGCTTCCAACCTGAAGAGATAGGCTGTGGAAATGAAGACACAGCAGTTGCGAGAAGTCTGGGAAGTGAGGAAGGGAGGGCAGTGGCTCTTGGGATATCATATCATGGTTTACTCTAAATCAAGAGTAGGGAATGTGCCTGTCCAGCTGTGTCTCCCAGTATGCTTGCTCTATCAATTCCTAAGGTTTCTAACCTTAGGTTACAAAATAAAAAAATAATAAACCCCAAATTCTAAGCTCTTCATGTCATGGTGATTCCTTTTTAGTTCCTGTCCTTGCAATCCTGCCTGGCAGTGATCATGAGAGCCAAACTCCCAGTTGGCAGAGAGTATCTTACTGCAGCGTGGCTTCTTTCCAGTTTCCTTTAAGCAATCGTTGCTGCTAGGCACATTGATCTTTTCTTGTTTTTGTTTTGAGTTATTCCCTAAGATTATTTCCAAAAACAAAATTATTGAGACTGCAGAATGAACTCTTTGTGCAGACACCTTTTTGACTGGTGAGTGCATGGGGTCTTTGCTCAGCCATGACCCTTAACACTGGTGCTGATTACACCTTAGGTGGGTGCTGTTTGTATTAGCCCAAGTATTTGATGGTAGTAGCATAGCCCCATGTTGGGGCTCTTCAGACTATTTCCAATATTTTGGGGCAGTGGCTCCTGACTTGTTCCAGCCTCTAGCCCAGTATCTTTATAGGATTTACTCTGATCCAGCCTTTTAATTTTTTAAAAAATTGTCCCCATCATTCTCTTTTTTACCTGAAATCCTGTGTTCTCACAGAGCAGAGCCTGGAATTGAGTGGCCTTGGATCCTTGGGGGAATGGGAAGCTAGTTAAAACCCAGTTTCCAGTGTCCCAGATAGCTCTGCTTTTCTGCCTTACAAGCTTTGTGAGGTTTAGGTTGCCACCACAGGGTTTGTCTGTCTTTGTATCCTGTCATAGACTTGTTCCAGAAGACTCGGACTTCTATCTGCCAAAGTGGAAGTAAGGAAAAATTTAAAACTAAATAATGCTGCTTTTAAAATTCATTGTGTTTGGTTTTGGGGGGGGGTTGTCTTGTTTTTTGGGTTTTTTTGTTTGTTTGTTTGTTTGTTTTTTAGCAAAATACAGCCATTCTTTGTGATGTGCTTTTTTTACTTGGCAATATGCAAAGTTAATCCCTAGGTACAGACCTAATATCACATTTGTTTTTAAGCCTTGGTAAGACTCACTCCAGCTGACAGTCTGTTCCCTTCTCCCTCCTTGCCATACATGCTGATAGCCTGGTATTACTCTGCAGTTTTCCTTGTGTGTTAATCTAATCAAATAAGAAAACAACACCTTGTCTAGCATATGATTCTGAGCCGTGCCTGAATCATCATCATCATGCTGTATCATCTTTATAAGGCCCTCAGGGGGTATGTCGTCTTCTAGATTTACAGATGGGGCCTCAGTGCCACAGACCCAGGGTGAGGCAGGCAAGCAGGTTAGCCCCAGGTCCCTGTGACACATACCCTCTTCTTGGGCTTGGGATCATGGTTTAAAAAGAGAACATCATCTACTCACTGTCCCCATCCCGTATTTTCACTGTCTGGTGGCCCAGCACAGCATACATCTTTCTTTGGCAGGTACGTGACCTGTGTATGGAAAGACCATGGTGACATTTGCTGGAGCATTGACATTGAATCTGTGCCCTTGCCTACGTCAGTCTCTGTAGGGCACCTGCTGACAGTTTGAGTGCCTTTCTGGCTTGCCTGCATACTGCCAGGCAGCCTTCCTGAGAAAGAATGTGAGAAAACTCCATGTTTCCATCCTTGCCAGCAGAAGATATTCACTCCTTGCTTGTTGCTGTTCCAAAGAGTTTGAAGTAAGTATGATATTAGAGCTCGGGGCAGGGCAGCGGGGAGGTGTCAGGGAGGGGAGAAGAGTTGGAGAGGAGTACAAGGTAAGAGGTAAGAGACTGCAGAGCTCTCAGAAACGTCAAGAAACAGCTTCCTAAGAGTTAGGGCAGAGCCTGGAAGGACTTCAGAGCAGAAGACAGTTAATGTGTCTCTGTGGGAGAATAAATGGAAGGGCTAGGCAGATGGAGGACTATGCTGGGAGCCATCAGACTGTTAGGGGGTGGTCATGGGAAATACAATCAAGTTCTGGATATGCTCTAATTATAGATTAGGAGTTGATGTGACAGAGTGAGGAAAGAGGGGGTTTGTGTACAATCCATGTGGTGACACTGAATTGGAGGGTCAGCAACACCAAGAACTGACTCCTGGACTCAACTGAACATTCAACCTTGTAAGAACCATGCTTGGTTTACAGAAAAGCTGGTACCATCCTACAACTGTCCAGACAGACAGACAGGGCTCTGGTACACAGACAATAGACACAGGCAGGAGTAGGAGCTAGCCTGGCCCAATGCCTCATCAGAGTAACAAGAGCCAACATCTTCCAAGACAACCTCACCAGCATAGAAACTCACTTAAAAGGCTCTAAATATGGGTCTTCTGGATGTTTTGCATTAGATCCTCCCACCCAGGTGTAATCCAGACTGTAGTGTTAAGTTACCATCATTTCTTTCAGGCCTGTAGAGACCAGAGCTGCATATTCACTGAAGATCAAATTCTTATGTAGACAAGGATGGGAGGATCACCCAGCCAAGGCAGATAATAATGCCCGCCATTTCACTGTGGAAGAGCCCTGGTGTCGTGTGCTTACTGAACCAGGTGCATGAGAAGAAGGATTGTATTCTTCTACCACACTTTCTGGGTGTGATCTCCTTTTGGTTACAGGCTGGATTCTGTGTCACTGTGCAGACTCCTCCTTGATGATCCAGAAGACTGAACCTCATCCTCTACAGGACTAGCGTGTCAGAAGATCTCATAGCCCGTCTCTTTTTCCCAGTCATTTGAGTATGTTGAACACTTTAGTATACCTTGTCCTGGTGTATACCCAGTACCTGCCCATACCCAGGACTCCCCTTCTCACTTAATGGTGAGTCCTCCTTCAGGTCTTAGACCAGATTCCTGAGTCACTTGGATATAGCCCCCATGTAACCCGTGTGAGCGCCTTGGGTGTAAAACACAAGGCCCTGAGGAGCTGCTGTCCTTGTGCACCAAAGGACCTTAACCATGAGCCAGGGTCAAGGTGAGCCATGTAGACAGTCAGAGCCTCACTGGCTTCCTGATACAGATGTGACCAGCCAACCATGAGAACCCCAGGGGGTCTAAGGAATGAAGACTTGGGACCCTTTGCCCTTGGAGGGCAGCCAGTACCCTGCACCTGGAGCTCAGAAATCCTTGGCACTTATTAAGTGGGACCTTCCTGGGCCCATTGCCAAAGAGTCCTGCACTCTGTATACTGTAGGATTCAAGTGTGGGCATGGGAAACTGGACAGAGCAGGGCTGTGGTAGCTGCTCTGTCCAGGGCTATAGTAGCTGCAGCTCCTTGGACCTCATTTCAACATTCCTTCACTGGCTCTATGTGAAGACAAGGGACCCCAGAAAGTCAAGGGCTGTTGGGACAAGGCCTGGTCCCTCACATGGTCTCTTCTTTTCTGACTTCTGTTGTCCTCACAGGTCCAGTAGACCAAATGATGGCAGCAGCCGGGCTCCTGCCACTACCAGCGGGACCCCAGGTGAGAAGTCCCAAAGACTTGTACAGTATCCCTGCCTAAAGCCTCTTCAGTTCCCAATTCAACCAGGGTTCCCAGGGCAGCCCAAGCATTACCGAATCCCCTGAACTCTGTTACCCCTTCCTGTGGGCTTCCTCACACACACCTGTCTCGGCTCACAAGTGCCCCGTTCCCCAAGCTATCTGTGTCACATGCACCCCTCCCTCTCAGACATTGAGGTTCAGGATTTTTGTTGCTTTTGTTGTGGGACTGGGGTTTGAACTCAAGGCTTTGTGCTTGCAAAGCAGGTGCTTGAGCCACAACTCCAGTCCATTTTGCTCTGCTTATTTTGGAGATGGGGGGGTGTCTTGTGAACTATTTGAACCATGATCCTTTCAATCTCAGCCTCCCAAGTAGCTAGGATTACAGTGCCCAGATGAGGCTCAGTTTTATCAGAAACCCCTGTTTTTCCAGGCCAAGGTGACCTTTGAGGATGTGGCTGTGCTCCTCTCCCAGGACGAGTGGGACTGCTTGGGCCCTGCTCAGAGAGGCCTCTACCGAAATGTGATGATGGAGACTTACGGGAATGTGGTCTCTCTGGGTAAGGCCCCTCATGGGCCTCTTGTATGTGCCTGTGTGTGTTGGACTAGGGTGGGGACATCCTAGGGGAATTGGCTATGGGTTAGCGGCTTGCTCACCTTCAGGGTGTTCAGCTCCAACAGAAGGTCAGTTGTCCCCAAAGATGACACAGGCTGAGGAGGGTCTTGTTAAATGTATAAACCAAGGGCTTCCCTCCCCTTGAGCAGGACTTCCAGGATCCAAGCCCAATGTGATCTCCCAGCTGGAGCGAGGAGAAGATCCATGGGTCCTGGATGGACAGGGGACTGAGGAAAGACAAGGCTTGGGTAATGACTACTCAGGTGAGTGATGGGAGTGAAGGTGTGTGGGGCTGCTGTTTTCACTGAAGGCCAGGCTTGTTCAGACTGAACAGCTCATAAGAGTGGCTGTCAGGGAAGGGGTCTGTCAAGCCTCACCTGGCAGAGGAGTCCACAGTCCAGAAGGTGCTTAGCCAGGCAGCATTCCATGGCAGGAAATAGGTATAACAATGACACTAGATGGGGTGGTAGAACTGGGTGCAAAGGAGAATGGACAGGAGGGCTGAATCTAGTAGAAGCAATATTAGGCCACAGACAGATTTTTGTCGCTGCCCAGAGAGACAGAAACTGATTAGCCAGTTTCCAAAGGGATATTCAGGTTGTGGGGGTTACCCAATTGGTTTAGAAAAGAACAAAGCATCCTACGTGTAAAAGGGAAGTTTCTCAACCTGGTATTCATGGCGAAGGACTGAAAGCTTGCTGTTTGAGCTTAGGAGTCCACAGTCCCTTCATCCATACAGTATTATACTCTGGTCCCATGTGTGAAATAAGGCAAAATAAAAACCACAAAGCTAAAACTGCAAAGCATATATATATGGAAGGGGGAAAGAAAACAATTGTTCAATGTTCCTGTGATTGTCAATTTAAAAAAAGATACATTAGAAGCCATAAGAGAATTTTGCAGTGTTTCTGGATACAGAATTATTTGTGTTTCTGCTTAGTAATAAACAAAATTGTACTTTTTAAGATAACAGAAATATGAAGTGTCCAAATTAATCCAACCAAAGATGTATAAGACCTTTATGGACAAAATCATAAAAGAGAGGATGGTATTATGTAGCTAGGTCCAACCATTAAGGCTGTGTTCACAGCTGAATTAGTTGAATAACCTCTGACTACAGTATCAACAGAGTCTTGAGAAAACCTCAGCCAGCCTGCCCTCCTAGGATAAGTTGGGAGGGGTGGCATAGTCAACAGTCCACAGGCTGATTGGCATCAGCATCTCGGTGTAGCTGTTTTCCCTGAGAACTGGTCCTTGTTTCTAGAGATGGTATGGACAGGACCCCAGGTATTACAGATGACCTGCCTCTTATTGACCTGCAAAATGAGTTGTCCTTAGAGGAACAGCAGATGTGCTAGCTTCCAAGGAGTTTTATATTCCAGTGAAAGTAAGCAAGAGAATACATTATGTTGTGGAAAACTTACACAAAACTTTTCTTTCTTTCTCTTTTTTTTTGAAATGGGGTCTTGCTGTGTTTCCTAGGCTGGCCTGAATATCCTGGGCACAAGTGATCCTCCTGCCTCAGCCTCATGAGTAGCTGGACGTGCATGATTGTATCCCACTTTACATTGTACTTAAAACTGCTGACTGTAGGCATAGGAGGCAAGAAAACACAGAGGGCATTTGCTGCTACTGCCAAATCAGACCCTTTCTCCATGGAGGCAGATGTGTTCCTGCTTGGTAGGGATTTGAGTGCCTTTGAGTTTTATGCTGAAGAGACTGAGATTTTCCAGGAGCACCTGATCACTCTGTCTCTGTCACAGTGGAAAACCACAGTGGAAGACGGCACCAAGTGAGTTCTAGATACAGATATGCATAGAATCAGATGACATTTGCCGCTGCATAGGCTACCACCTCAGGCCTCAACCAGCAAGGAGCAGAGCGCTGTTCCAGGGCCTTGTCCTGGCAGCTCTGCAGGATCAATAAGTGTGTGCACCTGCCCAGCCACTCATGTTTCCCGCTCAGGGAATTGTACTTAAGTGTTGTGACAGCAGTGGAAGAATTTTTCCACTATCAAGGGAAGTATTTTGTTGTCACTTCAACTCTCTATTCCTTTTACAGACAACCTCAAATGTGAACATACTGCAACCTGTATGAAAAAGGACAGTTTTTCTTGTCTGTGGGGTAAGTATATGCTTGGCCTTTTTAATTAAGTACAGTCCCTAAAGGTGTTGGTGCTCCTGTCACCCAAACAACATTATGAGTTTCTCCAGGGTGTGTTAAAGCTAGTTGTACAGCTCACACACACAAACCCCATAAAACACTAAGGAGGTTTTTCCTAACTAAAAATCTATTTCAGTGAAAACACTTTTTCCCTCTTTATGTATTTTGTCATACTTAAAACATACTTCTCTACTTAAAGCTACAACTAAAAGCATCATTCTAAAAGCAAGTGGCAGTTTGCTTAATGCAAGACACAGGGAAGGTGCACCTGTCACTGGCCTTCACAGCAGCTTGAGTCTGTCACACAAACATCATATGATGCTTTATGTCATGAATGATTGAGTAGCCATCTGTTTAATTAGCTTATTTTTTTATTATTAAAATCATCTTGTTACTCTGGCATCAGGTCAGAAGCCATCCTTTCAGGAAACTCCAAATGATAGAAATGATACCTTTCAATGCAAATGACTAGTTCTTTCCTTGGCCTATAGGCTTTTTTCTGTGAAGATGGGGCTTATGAATTAAAAAACTAAAACCAGCCTATTGGTTTTAAAAAATGCATGGTATAACTTTTGTTTATTTATTTTTTGTGATACTGAGGGTTTGAACTCCGACTTTTATGCTTGCTGAGCAGGCAGTCTTACCACTTGAGCCACTCCTCCAGCCCTCACATGGTATAACTTTTAAAAAATAATACTAGTTAAAAGTAATTGAACAGATGACTGTGAATTCAGATTTTTTAAAAATGAAGACCCTGGGCTGGGATGTAGCTTAGTGGTAGAGCACTTGCCTAGTATGTGTGAGGCCCTGGGTTTGATCTCAGCATCAGAAAAGAAAAAAATAAATAAAAATGAAGACCTTATTTAAATAATTCTCAGTTTCAATCCATCAGTACTACAGCACACATTTAAACAAATTTCTCTGAAGGGAATGAAAAGACACAGAAGTACCCAATAAGAAAAGTTGAACAGAATTCCTCATGGAAGAGGAATTCCAAAGGACTAACAAACAGGAGAACATACTCAGTCTCATTACTCATCAGTAAAATGGAAATCAAAACCACAATGATGTATCATGTTACATCTTCAGAGTGGAAAAAAAAAGGAAAGATGTGACAATACTCAGGTGTGGGTAAGGATATAGAACAGCTAAGGGGGATGTAAATTTACATAGCCACTTTGAAAACAGTTTGGCATTATCTAATGAAGTTGAGTGGCCCCCACTTCTATCACTGCTTCCATATAGTAGGACACTTGTGTGTAAGCACTAGGAAACAAGAATCTCCATGGAAGCATACTTCATAATGAAAAACAGTGAAAATATCCCATGTCCATCCACATCTTTTTTTCTTTCTTTTTTTTTTTTTTGTGGAAATGGAGTTTGAACTTGGGGCAGGTGCTCTACCACTTGAACCACTCCATCAGCCCTTTTCTGTCCTGGGTATTTTCAAGATAGGATCTTGAGAACTGTTTGCTTGGGCTGACTTTGAACCTTGATCCTCCTGATCTCTGCCTCCTGAGTAGCTAGGATTACAGGTGTGAGCCACCAGCACCCAGATGTAAAGTGTGGCTATTTTTTTTTTTTTTTTTTGGTGGAGGGGAATGGTATTTGCAATTGAACCCAGGGCCTCAAGCTTGCTGGGCAAGCACTGTACCACTTGATCTACACCCGCAGCCCAACTCTGGCATTTTAGTATAACGAAATACACCACAGTGGAAAAGATGGAATAACTGCTATAAGACAACATAATGAATCTCAGGAATATAATTCTGAGAGGGGAAAGCAAGTTGCAGAAGACCTTGTACCATGGAACTATAGAAAGCTCAGAAACATGCATAACTATATTATTATTTAGAAATATAGACTTCTAAGCTAGGGGTGTGGCTCAAGCAGTAGAGCATCACCTAGGAAGACTGAGGCCCTAAGTTCAAAACCTGAGCACTGCCCCCAAAAAAGAAACAAAACAAAACAAAATACAGGCTTCCACTTCTAGTCAGGGTGGAAGTAACAGAGACCAGAGTTACCCTACCACATGAAACAACTGGAAAACAATGAGATATTTGAAGCCACAGCTCTCAAATCAGTCTTTTGCTGGAAACCTGTCAACAAGTGATTCCTGAAAGGCAGTAAAAAAGGTGAGCCCTACAATTGCCCCACCTCACAGCTTGGAGAATGTGGAACCACAGGAAGGAGGAAATGACAGAGCTTTTTGGTTTCCCTGAGTTGAGACAGAGCTGGGAGTTCAGGAAAGCTGAAGGGTCTAGAAGTTACCACAGATTAACAAAGAGCAATCAGCTCCACAAAGAGAAGTCTGGAGAGCTGCAGAGAATTCCTCATGAGTATACAGTTGAGTACTGATTAGTACTTCATATAAGGAAATTTTCCAAGCCAGGAAAAACCCACCAGAGGGGATTGGGGAGAGTAGTACCCATGGTAGCCAGGTTGAGAGTCCTTACTCCCTGTGTACATGCCCTACACATTCCCCAGGACTGTGATTATGATGGATTTTCCTCTTATGATTAGGTTGTATTGTATGGCACTTGCCTTTAAAGCAAGGAGAGCCCTTTAATCTGGGTCTAGAGGCCAGAGATTGAAAGCATGATGTGTCATTGATTGCTCTCTTAAAGATTTAGAGTGCCGTATGGGAAGGAGTGCCACAGGATTTAGAAGCTGGAAGTGATGCCCAGCTAACCTCCAGCAAGGAGACAGTCACCTTAATCCAACAGTTTCAATGAGCTAAATTTTGCTAACAGATAATTAGCTTAGAAATGAGTTTATTCCTTACACCTCCATACAATAACTGAGACTGGACAGCACTTTGTTTCAGCCTAGAGATACCCTGAACAGAGAACCAAGCCATCCCATATTTAATTTCAGCTTACAGAAGTATGAGTTATATTACCTCCAAGTAACTTAACCACATAGCAAAACAAAGCTTGATAATATTTATTGGAATAATAAAATACAAAGCACCAAGCAAGGTAGTCTATGATGTATAGCAAAGAAGCAAGAAAATACAACCACAATTAGAAGAAAGACTGGTCAAGTGAAACTGACCAGAAATGACACATGATAGAAGACAAGCTAGGTACCAGTGCCTCATGCCTATAATCCTAGCTACTTGGGAGGCTGAGATCTAGATGACTGTGGTTTGAGGCCAGCCCAGGCAAATGCTTCATGAGATCCCCATCTCCAAAATAACCGGAGAAAGATAGATTGGAGGTGTGGCTAATGCAGGAGAGCACCTACTTAGCAAATATGGAGCCCTGAGGTTCAAACCACAGTACCACCAAAACCAAAACAAAAATACCAAAGACAGAATAAATTTATTTTATATGTTGAAGGAGCTAGAGGAAGTATTGAACAAATTAAGGAGAAGCATGAAAAGTATTTTAAAAGACATGATTTTACAACATAGAAAAATCATTAGCATTTCTATACACTAACAATGAGCAAACGGAAAAAGAATGTATGAAAACAATTCCATTTACAATAGCCTCAAAAAAAATCAAATACCTAGGTGTAAACCTAACAAAAGATGTGAAAGACCTCTACAAGGAAAACTATACACTTCTGAAGAAAGAGATTGAGGAAGACTATAGAAAGTGGAGAGATCTCCCATGCTCATGGATTGGTAGAATCAACATAGTAAAAATGTCTATACTCCCAAAAGTAATCTACATGTTTAATGCAATTCCCATCAAAATTCCAATGACATTCATCAAAGAGATTGAAAAATCTACTGTTAAATTTATATGGAAAAACAAGAGGCCACGAATAGCCAAGGCAATACTCAGTCAAAAGAACAATGCAGGAGGTATTACAATACCTGACTTCAAACTATATTACAAAGCAATAACAATAAAAACAGCATGGTACTGGCACAAAAACAGACATGAAGACCAGTGGAACAGAATAGAGGATCCAGATATGAAGCCACACAACTATGAGCAACTTATCTTTGACAAAGGAGCTAAAAATATACGATGGAGAAATAGCAGCCTCTTCAACAAAAACTGCTGGGAACTGGTTAGCAGTCTGCAAAAAACTGAAACTAGATCCATGTAGATTACCCTATACCAAGATTAACTCAAAATGGATCAAGGATCATAATATCAGACCCCAAACTCTTAAGTTGATACAAGAAAGAGTAGGAAATACTCTGGAGTTAGTAGGTATAGGTAAGAACTTTCTCAATGAAACCCCAGCAGCACAGCAACTAAGAGATAGCATAGATAAATGGGACCTCATAAAACTAAAAAGCTTCTGTTCATCAAAAGAAATGGTCTCTAAACTGAAGAGAACACCCACAGAGTGGGAGAAAATATTTGCCAATTATACATCAGACAAAGGACTGATAACCAGAATATACAGGGAACTTAAAAAACTAAATTCTCCCAAAACTAATGAACCAATAAAGAAATGGGCATGTGAACTAAACAGAACTTTCTCAAAAGAAGAAATTCAAATGGCCAGAAAACACATGAAAAAATGCTCACCATCTCTAGCAATAAAGGAAATGCAAATTAAAACCACACTAAGATTCCACCTCACCCCTGTTAGAACAGCCATCATCAGCAACACCACCAACAACAGGTGTTGGCGAGGATGCGGGGAAAAAGGAACCCTCTTACACTGTTGGTGGGAATGTAGACTAGTACAACCACTCTGGAAAAAAATTTGGAGGCTACTTAAAAAGCTGGACATCGATCTACCATTTGATCCAGCAATACCACTCTTGGGGATATACCCAAAAGACTGTTACTCCAGAGGCACCTGCACATCCATGTTTATTGCGGCACTATTCACAATAGCCAAGTTATGGAAACAGCCAAGATGCCCCACCACTGACGAATGGATTAAGAAAATGTGGTATCTATACACAATGGAATTTTATGCAGCCATGAAGAACGAAATGTTATCATTCGCTGGTAAATGGATGGAATTGGAGAACATCATTCTGAGTGAGGTTAGCCTGGCTCAAAAAACCAAAAATCGTATGTTCTCCCTCATATGTGGACATTAGATCAAGGGCAAACACAACAATGGGATTGGACTATGAGCACATGATAAAAGCGAGAGCACACAAGGGAGGGGTGAGGATAGGTAAGACACCTAAAAAACTAGCTAGCATTTGTTGCCCTTAATGCAGAGAAACTAAAGCAGATACCTTAAAGCAACTGAGGCCAATAGGAAAAGGGGACCAGGTACTAGAGAAAAGGTTAGATCAAAAAGAATTAACCTAGAAGGTAACACCCACGCACAGGAAATCAATGTGAGTCAATGCCCTGTATAGCTATCTTTATCTCAACCAGCAAAACCCCTTGTTCCTTCCTATTATTGCTTATACTCTCTCTACAACAAAATTAGAGATAAGGGCAAAATAGTTTCTGCTGGGTATTGAGGGGGGGAGCGGGAGGGGGTGGAGTGGGTGGTAAGGGAGGGGGTGGGGGCAGGGGGGAGAAATAAACCAAGCCTTGTATGCACATATGAATAATAAAAGAAAAATGGAAAAAAAAAAAAAAAGACATGATTTTAAACTTTGGAGATGAGATAACAACAAGATGATAAATTCACTGGATGGAATAATGGCAAATTAGACATTGC